ATTAAAAAATTACCTTTCCTTTTCAATCTGTAGTGCTGTCATTTTTTGTAAAATTCAATGCAGTATGGCTACTTGGAGGTGTTCTGTACACAGTGCACAGATTGCCCCCTGAAAATGTTATTTCCTGTTTGAGTGATTGGCTCACTGATTTTCCCAGAAGTCTGCACTAAGATACAAGTCTGATTTTGGGCATACCCTGCAACACAAATGTCATTTTTAATGAGATACTCTCTATGGGAAATCACATCTAAAGGGATACAGACCCTATCAGTTTCCTCATTAGAGCCCTGCAGGTGCAGCAGCTGACTGATAATTATGAAACCACTTCCATACAGATTCACTCTACACATGGACACAAACAGCTATTCCTTCAGAATAACTAAAGGTAGGAATTTGCAACAAAATTTGTTAAAATCCTTGCAATGTACATAGATCACGCAGAGGGGAATGTTTTTTTTTCGCAAACAAAAGTGAAGTTACTCTTTAACCACTTCCTGTCCGGCCCATGTACATAAACGGCCAGATGGGAGCAGTGCAGGAATGGGTGGCCATTTCTAAACGTCCTTCCGCATTCACTCCCTGTGCGCGCTCCCTGAGAGCATGCGGCACTGCGATCCGGTGCCCATTCGATGTACGGGACCTCTGTGTGAGGCCCCGATCATGTGATCACTGATTGGCCAATCAGTGATCACATGAATAGTAGTAAGCAAGATGTCACTTCCTGACATCATTGCTTACTACTAGTGAAATCTGTGAAAGATCACAGAGGTCACATGGTACAAGGCTATTCACAACAGCCTTGTACTCCATGTGACAAGCTGTGACCAATCACAGCTCGCACAGTATTTCTCAATGGCTGCAAGAATGCAGCCAGAGAGAAGAAATTATTGCTTTTACAGCCTTTATGGGTGTAAAAGCAATCAATGTAAAAAAAAAAAAATCTTCATCACCCCCCCCAAGTAGTACAGTGTCACTATGGTGAGCACAGCTCTCATATGATACATGAGCCAATCACAGCACCCTTTACCACGTGATCACCTGTAGCCAATCACAGGTCACTAGTGTTTTGAACTGTCATGAACTTAACCCATTATTGACAGTTCAAAGCAAGCAATAATCATTATACTATGGTAACATTGAACTACTATGATGAAATAATTATTTTTTAAATAATAAAAAATAATGTTTAAAAAAAAAAAAAGTAAAATGATAAAATAAAATATTGAGAACATGCTTATTTTTCAAACTTTTTTAAGTTTTTTTTTTTTTAACTACTTGCGGGCAAGTGGCGGCTCTGGGCAAAGTGATGTACACTTATATCGCTCTCTATTTCTGAGTGAAAGCACACATGCATGCACCCCCCTGCTATCACCCCCCGTTGGTTCAGGGCGAGGGGAGAGAACACCACACTGTGCATAAGCACTACATTTCACACACATACGGTAAATGTGCACATTTAACCCTTTGATAGGTTTTTTTTTTTCAAAAGTTTTGCTCTTTTTACATTTATATCACAAAAAATAAAAAAACTCAGTGGTGATTAAATACCACCAAAGGAAAGCTCTATTTGTGTGAAAAAAAGGACATAAATGTAGTTTGGGTACAGCGTTGCATGACCACACAATTGCCATTTGAAATAGTGCAGTGCCGAATAGCAAAAAATGGCCTGGTCAGGAAGAGTGGAAAACCTTCTGGGGCTGAAGTGGATAATAGAGACAGAAAATAAAACTTGTAAAACTGTACGAATTCTTGTAGAACAACAAAAAGCGATGCAGGCTGAAAGCAAACTGGCATCCTAACCTACCAGGACAATAGGAAGGTATCACACAGAAAGAAGCACATATTTAGCAAGGAATGCTGAGCTGAATCAATAATTGCATATCCCCTTGAAAGAGAAGAGCAGGGGATTTCCACTCATAACACGTTGGCATCACTGCTTGTCCCAGGGCAAAACTTCAACCTTGTTCTGCCAAAGAACAGCTATTTCCATATATGATATCCTCTGAAAAGTTAAAACTGACAGAGTGCAAGCTTTTCAGTGAACGTGTACTCGTTTAACCCCTTCATAGCTATAATTTTGCTTTTTATGACTTTCACGAGTGGATTTATTGTGCTTTTGGCAATGTGACATCACACAGGATGTGCCAGTAATAAGGGGCTTTAACACCTTTGACCGCAGGCCCCAGAAGTCTTAAGAGGATTACATTAGCAATATATCAGGTACCTAATGTCTCACCTCTGCTAGCCTGTTTATTACAACCTCCTGTCAAAGGCTCATGGAGTATGTGAAATACTTTGTGAGCTCAGTGTTCTCTCTGTACTACTTAACAGGCTTCTTATTTCATTATTAATGTATAAGTCACCAGCAAATTAAGCTGCTGTCCAAGGTCTCATTAAACAGAACACAATTCACCCTGGTCTGCAGCTCCCTGGTGACTTGCTCTCTCCCTCACTTCCCCCTCCCTTTGCAATTGTGTTGCACCTGTCTGCTCCCTAAGCAGTCCTTGATTCTGTACTATTTCTTTCATTGTACTGCTTTTTTTTGTCACCCGGCATAGCAGACATGCTTTTTTGGGGAATCCCTATTTGGCCATCCCTCGTAGTGCTCTCCCCACCTCCACCCATTCCATACATGGGCTAGGGGGTCCACGGACCCTGCCCTCCCCCTCACCTACTCCATTAATGGCTTCTTTGCTACTCAATGGCCCAGAAGCTACCAAATAAGGAGAGGCCGCCTGCCTTTCCCTGTGGAGCTCCCCACTGACTCTACATCTTCAGGCAGAGTATAAATTGACAACTCAGTCCCCAAGGCAGCACCCAGCCAATTTCAATCACAGCAGCCAGCTCTCTTGTGCTGACCAGGTGAGTACCAGCAGAGACCTATAGGTGGCTTGTTGCTTCTTCCCGTCAGATGGATTTCAGCACTTAGACTACTGGGACAGTCAAGTCAAGCTTGGATTTTTTTTGGAATAATTTTGAAACTTACTTTTTTTTTTTTTTGCTTTTAATTCAATACAAAAAGACTGGTTTACATTTCAAGGTCTGAACAGGGCAGGATTACCAGACAGTAAAGGCTGAACTTATTGAAGGAAAGCTACATTTTAGACTTAAACAAATTTTTATTGGTTAGAGGATATTGGTTCTCTGAATGCAGTGCATTCTGGGATCAGTGCTACTTGCAGTTCCTCTAAATAATGCAATGACAGCAATCTACGGCTGTTACATAAAGGATTTTTGTTTTGTTTACAAGTTAGAACACTGAAATGGGATATTGGCAGTGGAACACTATTTATTAAATAAATTATAGCAATATACAATAGAGTAACAAAAAGGGGATTAGATTCATTAAGAAATAACTATTTTGTTAAATGTCTATCATTTTATTTATTTTAGCTATTTATATAGAGCCAACAATTTGCACAGTACTTAACTCTCTCTCTCTCTCTATATATATATGTATATGTGTGTGTGTATATATATATATATATAGCACATTCATATCAGTCCCTGCCCTCCAGTATCTCACAGCCTAGGGTCCTCAACCCATACATACACATGATAGAGCCAATATAGACAGAAGTCAATTAACCTACCAGAATGTCTTTGGAGTACTGATTGAGTCACATGCATGTGGAACTTGCCCCCAAATTTAATTCAAAATTTAAAGTAGATGACCTAAAAATACCCCAAACTTTTCATAGTTCATTTTGTAAAGCGCTGCGCAAACTGTTGGCGCTATATAAATCCTGTATAATCATAATAATAATAGTCTGCCCAAATTTCCCTTGTTAGGTTCAAACGGTTAAATACGTGAAACTTAACCCCTAGTTCAGCTATGGTAAAATGCAAATCACATTCAGCTCCTTCATGCTGTTACTTACTGCAGAGGTTAACAACCTTAAGAGGGATCATAGGAATGCTGTGTGTATGAATATGTCCAGCCTGGAAAAGAGAAGGACAGTGAGGGTTTGTGTGTGGAAGACAGCTGCTCCCTGACATATGAGGATCTAGGGTTACAAGGACAGGAGGGGCTGCAAAAGCACATTTAATATATTTTAACAATAGTTTGATTTGAAATATAGCATTTTTTTTTATTTTTGTAACAAATGTACAAACTTTTTTTATTTTAGAGGAAAACATTTTTCATATTACAATAGCAGCTGATATAACAAGTTAGAGTCCTTTAAAATGGATCGTTTTATTTAAAAAAAAACTTTTTCTTTTAGTTTTTAATAGTGTATGGAATAGTTAAAACCTTTGTTAAGTTTTTATAGCTGTCTGTGTCCCCACTGGGGGATTCACCTTCACTATTTGTCCAGGTGACCTTGGTGACTAAGATAGAAAGTCATGCGAAATACAAAATTTAAAGCTGTCACCAAAACAGAAGCAGGGAAGAAATCTTCTAACTGTGACAACTAACTGGGGATTTTCCCTTATTCCCTTACTTTGAAGATGTTTCCTCTCACTTCCTGCTGTGTCCCAAAAACAGGAAATGAAGGGAAATCTTTGCAATGGAATACAGACAGCAACCCCCCCCCCCCCCAAAAAAAAAAAAAAAAACGGGTTATAACTAACCTCTACCCTGTCCAAAACTATAGAGATATCTTTTAGCTTTAGATAAACTTTCAGTAAGATCTATGCAGTATAGCTAAGATTTAATATTGTGATGTAGATCTTTTCTCTAGCAATCAGTTGTTTGTTAATTGGGTTATTTAGTATAAAATATATATTTGTAAATTGGGTTGATTAGTAGGACAAAGTGCTACAATGTTCTGGTAAATGGTAGACAATTGCAGTTGCCATGGACTATTAACATACCAGTATGTTGTTGCATTACAAGCATTAGAATATAGATTTATACAAAATATTTTATTTTAAACTCTAGTCCTATGTTCAAGTATGTGTACTGCTTTTGTTAGTTGGGCTGTGTGCATGGTTAAAACAAAGTCAGTTCTGAGGCTTTTCCATTTTCACCTGTTTCCAGAACTTAACCTGCCAACATGTGTGACGATGAGGAGACTACCGCCTTGGTGTGCGACAACGGCTCAGGGCTGGTAAAGGCTGGGTTCGCCGGGGATGATGCCCCTCGTGCTGTGTTCCCCTCAATCGTTGGTCGCCCTCGTCATCAGGTACGTAATCTTTTCTCACTACACTTAAAAATATGATCAAACAGTATACCAGACGTAGAACTAGCCTACCTTGAAATTGCATTTAAGGGTTTTTAAAAAAAAAAAACATTTCAAGGTCTAAGAGGCACAGACAATCACCAAAAATATATTCTTAATATGTTATCTAGGCTTTTCTAATAATCTTTCAAAATAGTATAAATAGAGTGGTATAGACCATTCTGTAGGCCATAGAGATGCAATAATTCAATAATTCACAGCTTGTTTGCAACAAGCATCTGTATCTGCAGCTCTTAATGTTTCCTTGTTTTTCTACAACTGGGAGATAAAAATAGCAAGTGCAGAGGCCCTGTCCTGCAAGGTTCAGTGATAAGACGAGCCAGTTATTAATAGGCAGCTTTGAGCCTGCTTATATTCTCCTACCGTACTGTGTGCTGGGTGAAATTTTCCTTGTTATACAGTTAATGCTGGCACACTTTGAATGGCGCTGCCATAGCTAAAATAACAGCAGGAGCATTTCTAACATCCAAATACTCATGAGGGGAAGCTAAGCATATTAGAATTAAGCTTTGCCAACAGCCCATTAGTATCAGTTACTGATGCCCTGCCAAGTTCCCCACGGGGAATTTACTGGGCCCATTGGCACTTGGGTCAAAGGCAGCTGGGCAGCTTATAGGGCCAAATTAAAATAATGCCAGCTGAGTAATGATTCTGTCACCTTGAGTTGTAGGTCAGGGCTTTTCTAATCTGAAGGTATAAACATTCTATGATATGGACTTAAAAATACTAAATATGTAGTATTATCCAGATAACATAGTAATATGTATTGTGTTTTGTAAGTGAAGGTGATTTTTTTTTAACTTTAGTCTTCCATTTTCCCTACTTTAGGGAGTCATGGTTGGTATGGGTCAGAAGGACTCCTATGTAGGTGATGAGGCTCAGAGCAAGAGAGGTATCCTGACTCTGAAATACCCCATTGAGCATGGTATCATCACCAACTGGGATGACATGGAGAAGATCTGGCATCACACCTTCTACAATGAGCTCCGTGTAGCCCCAGAGGAGCACCCCACCCTGCTCACTGAAGCCCCCCTGAACCCCAAGGCTAATCGTGAGAAGATGACCCAGATCATGTTTGAGACCTTCAACGTCCCAGCCATGTATGTTGCCATCCAGGCTGTGCTGTCCCTGTACGCCTCCGGTCGTACCACAGGTGAGAACAAAAATCTGTGTATTTTGTAATAAAGACAGAAAATATGGCAGTAAAGAAAGATTTCAACATAAAAGGAGAGAAAAGTATCTGGATACCCATAGCATGTTGACCCTGAGGGCAATACTAATTTCTCTTTGCTGAAGTTTTTATAAAAGTCCTTTGCTTGATAAGGTGCTATACTAACATTTTAGAAAACATAGTAATACCAACCATCTCTCCTGCTGAATGTTAAGGTGTTAGCTTAGTCCAACATAGTACTTCCCTCAGTACAGAATCATTATTAACTAAATACTACAGAAAAACCCTAGTCTTGATGAGGTCAACAAATTGGCAGTTTTTGTTTTAGATTTCAAGCCAACCCGTAGCAATGCACAAAAGTCAAATTAATTAATTGCAAGTGCAATCAGAATGTTATGGAAGGCTTAATCTTCTTACACTGGTGACACAGACATCTCGTCTCTGAATCCAGACTATTTTGTGGTACAGAAATACTGGTTTATATTTACCAAAATAGCACTGCACAGAGGAGGGGAAGTGAAGTGATGTGACCCCATGCTGCCCTGTACTGAACACAGGGGTAGAAACATCTGTTACAAATAGAAGTGAAAGAAGTAGCAGTAATTGCTTTTAAGTTCTCTATTGCTGTTTATGTAAATCCCTAAAGCTAGTATGCTGATAAGAGAGAAGAATACAACTGAAAGTGTCATAATCTGTCTCTTGCAAGCAGTCTGTCGGCAGCCTTGTTCACTGCCATTTTGTTTTCACTGCAGTATTTTGTCGTGTGTGAGAGGTGGAACTGTATTTTCAAGAATTATATATATATTTTTTAATGCCCCATAGTGTCAGTGCTTTCTACTATCTTTCACCATTGCCAGGCAGCTGTTTCTATACCTCCTCTTGCAAAAATACAACAGAAAGCTTTTGCAGCAGCATGTGTGTGCTGACCTTCTATAACTGTTCATAGTGACTGACCCCATGGTGTAGAGACTTTTTCTATAGAATTCTGTCATATTTTACTTCATCCATTTACTCTTTTTTGTGGTTTTCCAGGTATCGTTCTGGACTCCGGTGATGGTGTCACACACAATGTCCCCATCTATGAAGGGTATGCTCTGCCCCACGCCATCATGCGTCTTGATCTGGCTGGCAGGGACCTCACAGATTACCTCATGAAAATCCTGACTGAGCGTGGCTACTCTTTTGTTACCACAGGCAAGTTTTCTGTCATCCTTTGGCTCCTAAGATTTTTTTTTTTGCTGAAGGGCCCACAATCTCAAAGGTTTAAATCCCTAGAGCCAGCTTTATGGCAGTCCAGAAGCAATGTCACACAGCACAGGAATCTTTAATGAAATTGTTAGGGCCTACAGCACATTAACGTACAGTAGCTTCAGTCAGAAGACTAGCATGGCTCTGTGATACACATGCAATGTATATCTTGGGATTTGAAGCATTATGTAACTACTGCGCAAATCTCATATTACAAACTAGTCAAACTCATAACAACCTAGGGCAAAGCTGCGATACTCTTGCCTCATGAATGCAGAATAAGCTTGCTTATTTTTCAATTTACAAGAAGACATTTTCATTTACAAATACTGCATATAACAATATATGCATTAAAAAAATAAAAATAAAAAATAAATAAATAAAAAATTAAATATTATCTTTCATTAGGCTTGGTATATTAGACTGGTAACAGATAAACCTAATTGTTTTTTATGTGTTACTGCACATCACTATTTTATACTTTATCAAAAGAAACCCATATAGTATGTCCTACATTTAAAAATGTGGGATTTGCACTGAGATTTAGAGACGTTTCAGGCTACAACTACATTTCTGTATTTTTCAAGCACAGTGGTTGTAGAGCTGCGTGTTTAAGATACATTTTACACTTGGTTTTCTCTTTAAGCCTTGGAAAGATATGCTTTGCTGGAAACCTCACCACAGATACAGCAAGCAGGATTTTTGTTGAACAAATTACTTTAAAATGCATACATGTGTCTGTAGTCTAAATGTCCTAGTAATGGTTACTGCAAATGTTTTCTTCATATCAAAACTCTCATTTAATAACTTCATTTGTTTCCTATCTACAGCTGAACGTGAAATTGTCCGTGACATCAAGGAGAAGCTGTGCTATGTGGCTTTGGACTTTGAGAATGAGATGGCCACTGCTGCCTCTTCCTCTTCCTTGGAGAAGAGCTATGAACTGCCTGATGGTCAGGTCATCACCATTGGCAATGAGCGTTTCCGCTGCCCTGAGACCCTCTTCCAGCCTTCCTTCATTGGTAAGATATGCAACTAGAATCTAACTACTGATCTGTTCACAGGCATGAGTGGTGTTTGGAAGATCTGCCTGCTGAGCAACTGGTGCATAACAGCACATAGGCTGCATATGCAGGTTTATGCAGACACCCCTTCCATAGCCTAGTCTCATGGGAATAACAGAACATCAGCTAGTAGTATACGAACTGGTGTCTGATAGTTCCACCGAGATTGGCTGCCAAACATATGTTTATACACATTGCTCATAAATATGAAGCATTTTCCTGATTAGGTGCATCTCATTGTTACCGGCACTTTAGCCATTACTACTAATATCAACAGTTAACACAAAACTCCTTCACTACATAGCCACAAAAAATAAGATGCAATGTTAAGACTTATCTCATTAGCTGATATGCATGGACATCAAATAATAAACCCTTGCAAAGAAGAGAATTTGAAAAGTCAGGAGAAAACATGTAAACTGAAGTTTTCAACTGATTCACGATATAAGCCCCTACCACCTATAATGCTTTACATAACACACCTAAAGACAAATGTGGCCTCCAAATACTTCTGACCTTATCTAAGTGACTGAATGCTGCATAGTAGGATGATTGCTGTATTCAGTCTATTTTAAATCCTGTCTAGTTAAGTGCTGATTAACATTTGAGGCACATAAAAGAACTTTCATACCAATCTCCACAGCCAACACAAGCTGTGACTTCAACAAACACCCTTTTATCACTTTTAGGTCCTGACACCTGTTAGGTTGTGTAGGCAGTTGCTGTCCATTTGGCAGCATTTGTTAATCCAGCACAGGACATTATCAGCACCTGTTGATCACAATCACCACTATTTGCACACAAATTATAATCCTCTTCTTCTTGCAAACACCAGGTATGGAGTCTGCTGGTATTCATGAAACCACATACAACAGCATCATGAAGTGCGACATTGATATCCGCAAGGACCTGTACGCCAACAACGTCCTGTCTGGTGGTACCACCATGTACCCTGGTATTGCTGACAGAATGCAAAAGGAAATCACTGCCCTCGCCCCCAGCACAATGAAGATCAAGGTAAGATTTTAATATAAACCAGGCAGTTTACAATATTACAACATGAAAAAATGACCCAGACACATGGAACATCCAATATTATTATCAGCAATGTATATTCACACATTCTGTATAGAGAAGGTAAAGCCTTCCTTTTTAAAAGAAAAAAGGAAAAAAAAAATTAAATATACTGGTGTTTTAAAGAACTATGGAGGCTTTTACATGCCAATCGTTTACATGCCATAAGGTTTATGTGAAATGTATTTGAACTGAAAACCACAGTCTCAGTCAAAATTGTATATTTTATGTATGAGAACAGCTAAATATCAAATTGCTAGATCAGTATATCTACACAAGGGTTGGTAAATTGCTGCACAGTGACTCTGATTAAGGATATGTTACTCATTCACTTCTGTTCTTTTTTTCACATAGATTATTGCCCCACCTGAGCGTAAGTACTCTGTATGGATTGGTGGCTCCATTCTGGCTTCTCTGTCCACCTTCCAGCAGATGTGGATCAGCAAACAAGAATACGATGAGGCTGGACCCTCCATTGTGCACAGGAAGTGCTTCTAAACAATTCACATTCTCCTTTGTTCAAATGTACACAGTACCTCCAATTCAAGACAAAGAATACATGGGCAACCACTGTACAGTTTGTTTACACTCCATCATATTTATTACTTTATAAATAAAACAAATGCCGTTATTAAGTTCAGCAGCGTTTGCCCTGTCTTATTTTCTCAAACTGGGATGTTTTATTGAAAAATAAAAGGAACCATCTTCTCAAGTCTTGGCTGTGTTGTGTGATAGTTTCTTGGGAAAAAAAATCCCTAAACCTTTTAGTGCAGCTTAGGACTACACCAATTGAGCTGTTGCAGTTTGGGTCCATGCATAGAAAAAAAAGCAAAAAAGGTGTGCCAGTTCCCAATTATATGAATTAATTGTAATTATAACTGAATATATTGAGAGCAATAACCATTACTGGGCGCTATTTATCAGAATATTGGATATTTAAAGAAACCACAAAACTTTGTCATTCACTGCTTTTCAGCAGTCTAAGAGCTAATTAGCCAAATCTTTACATGCTCTGTAATAATGGTGAATGAATTATTGTAATACTCAACTAAGAGCTAATTTTCTTAGGTTCTGGTAACAGTGACAAACAGTAACAGTAGGAATTAAAAGAACAGCTGCCCTGAGCCTCACAAGAAATTTGAAATGCATTGTTATGAAGGCTCTTGTCTTGTAACTTAACCCTTTTTACTGCACCAGAAACCTCACTGCTTCCAAGAGAAAAATTCCTGTTGCCTCTATTATCTTTAAAGGATCCTATTAGAAGAGAACCAAGCAGGCTGTCACTGCCAAACACAACTTATGAAAATACTAGTTACCTGGTTGTCACAATGTACCTTCAGTTCTTGAAATCAATGATGCACAAGTATTCAGATAAAGACATACCACTATTCTTTGACTTTACTAAACTTTGTACTTGTTTCAGGTCGATGCCTTATGTAATAAAAAATGCTAATGGGTCTGCACACCAAGACAGTCAAATATTTTATATATATATATATATATATATATATATATATATAATTTTTTTTTTTTACAAGGAGGTCAAAAATGGAAGCACCTAGCTTTTACTTCTTCAGTGTTTCAACCTAAAATCAAACCATGCTACTTAAATATCTGTATTGAGAACAGGTATTTTTGTACAGAGGTAATTGTAAAACAGTTTGTAAAGAGGTGTTGATGTAGGTAAGTTCAAAAATGCATGCATTGCAAACATATGTTTTTCAACCAGTTTTTTACGTGTTTTGACATATGGTGACCTTGATTTTAATGAATCAACACTCAGAAACTGTGACTTGCAGGATTATGTATGACATCTTACTATATACATGTTAACTGTACCACAAAATAAAATGGTGCATTTTCATAAGTGTTTTTTTATGCAGTGCGCTATTGCGCTACCCGTTATAAGCAGGTTATACACCACACAACCTGATTATACAATCTGCTTTAGTTCTACCAACAACTATGGAGTGCAAGAGCATACTTGACTGCAGATAGAATGGCTTACTTAGGTAGGCCATCACATTATTATTGTTATACAGTATTTATAAAGCGCCAATAGTTCGCTCAGCGCTGTACATTACAAAGTGGGACAGAACATGTGACAGAACAATACCAATACAATGCAAAACATGAGGGGATTGAGGGCCCTGCTCTTTTGAGCTTACAATCTAGGAGGGAGGGGATAGTGGTACAGGAGGAGATAGCTGTGGGGGATGGAGTGGTAGGAAGAGTGGAGGAGGTCGGCAAGTTAGCAGGGGGTGGGGTAGGCTTTCCCTGAAGAGATGGGTTTTCAGGGTGCGCCTAAAGGAGAGGAGAGTAGGTGATAATCTGATGGGTTTGGGCAGGGAGTTCCAGAGGATGGGTGACACCCATCACATGGTATCATTTTGGTAAACTGTAAAGATTACTATATATAAAGACTGTACATAAGACTGTAAAATGTATGGTCATTGGTAATCTTTAGTCTCGACTCTTGCAAGAGAAGAAAGATTTTCTTACTACAGTCTGTTACAAAACTATATAAGCTATTGGGTGTAGAACGACCACTTGATTTTTCCCTGCCTATAAGAAGCAATAAAAAGTGCATATACTGTAGGCACAGAAATTATAGTTTCTTTATAAAGAAGAGCTATAATACCAGCCACAGCAAAAGTATGGGTGCTGCTAGTAGAGTCATCCAGTCATACAACAATTGCAACTATAGTAATATTAAGATACATATGTCTTGTTTGTAACAGCTGCTCTTCAACGCATTTGGTCTATGTTCTAAGTACATCCAAAATAGTGCACAGTCTACACATACATTACTTTAAATAAGTATTTCCAAGGAATCATGTTCATGCTCCTTGGAAATATTACTAAATGAAAACCTGTATTGTAAAGTTGTAATATTAGAAAGTGGTATCAAATATCAGTAGAACATACCACAAGCCAGCAAAGTAGCAAAGTACCACCAGAATACGGCCAGTTGACACACTGATGTGCGCACAGCACATTCTCAACATATTAAATATATACTGTAGATATATATGTCAAAATAAACAAATGTATGAGAACATACAAGAGGACGCACTCTCTAACCTTCACAATACAGCTGTCTGGCCTTCTGTTCTGATGTAGCTAAGACTTTAAGCTAATGCATATGAATTAAGAGGATATTACAATCGCCCCCTTGATATGATGTACTGTGAAGGTCCTTTGTGGGCCACTGATTCACATCTGCCAGGCTACTGGTGACCTCTTGTTGCAGCTAGAGGACTGTGTCACATGCTTTTGGTGCATGAAGTAATCCAGTTATGAAGATAGATCATCATCAATTTTAAGTAGTAAAAAATACATAGGAAACTGGTTTGAAAAAAAACTTGAAAAAAACTTAAGCCGAAGCCCCTAATTCTCGCTGCAATATATTACTTTGGTTGGGGTAAACATATTTTTCCTGTGATAAAATATGGTGTGAGCAAAAGCTCCAAACCCAAAAAAGCTGGAAACGATCATGTTTAGTCCTATTCCTCTGTCAGGGAATGCTAATCAAAATGGCCCTAATAGACAACTATGATTGAATCAATTTCTTTGCTTTTTGAGCAGGTCTGCCCTCTAAAGTTTAACGCTAATTAAATTAATTTCTAGTTTTAAATAGATCAGGGAAGGGTTAGAACTTTTGTCAAGTTTGTATTGCTGTCTGTGTCTCTATTGGGGATATTTCTCCCAAGCGGTTCTAACCGTTCCACAGCCAAAACGTGGGGAAAATGTATATATATATATATATATATATATATATATTTTTTTTTTTATATATATATATATATCATACCATACACACAACAGAGAGTGTGCAGTACCTGTTGTATGTATATCCATGGGTTAAAAAAAAAAAAATTGTGCAACATGGGGAAATGCCATCCTGTTCTGTGCCTCTCCAGCACTTGTGTATGGGGAAAAGATCAGGAGCTGGTCTAATGCTGGGGAGGCAAGTCCTTGTTTCGAGGAGGGAGGAAAACTATGATTGGCCACTGCTAAGGCCAGTCACAGTCCTGCCAACCGGTCCTGGGGAAAGGAAGAGGAGAGCCTGCGCTGAAGATAGAAGGAACCACCATGAATCAAGGTGGTTCGCTGTGCAGATGTCGGCTGTGTGGTTGTTCTGTGGGATAGAGGGTCACTTACTACTGACCTTTGAACTCTGCATCACTTACTCTTGACACCTTAATGTTGCTTACTCCCAGGGGCGGACTGACAACTCATTGGGCCCCCGGGCAATAGGGGATCATGGGGCCCCTGTGTCCTTGCCCAAACTCAAAAAAGCCTATGAAAAAGGTACCAGGGGCATCTCATGGGGCCTCCTACTGACCCCGGGCCCTCGGGCAGTGCCCGAGTTTCCAAATGGTCAGTCTGTCCTTGCTTACTCCTGACCCCTGAACTCAGCCTCACTTACTAATGACCTTTTCTGCAGCACTTACTACAGAAACTTTGCTTTACTTACCACTGAATCCCTGCACGTCGATCCTCTTTGAGACACAGCAAGTGTTCAGTGCAATGGAAACCGCACCCGATTTGTGCAGCAACACACCCAGTGCACTGCACTTTATTTTTCTCTGACAGGAGGGCCCAACATATGATCTTGCACACAGATCCACTGCTTTCTGAAAACGAACCTGGTTACAGCAAACACATGCCTGGCAGAGTTCCATGTTACCCAGTAATCAATTTAATAATTGCAAAGCTGCATTAGTTGTGCTTTATATATCTGCCTAAAGTTCAGCTTTAAATATGTAATAAACACCACATAATCAGGGCCTTGTTGGATGCTTAATTCATAAGTGAACCCTTCCCTGTGATTGGCATGTGTCACTGCTCTCTGCAGGGAAGTAAATGCATGTCAGAGTGTAGAAGAAGCAGCTTGCAAAGAAAATCAAAGCTTAGCTATTGACTTCTGACAAAAAGTCAAAGTCTGCATATCTGTGAAAATGATATTTTGCATGCTTAGACTGCATGTTTTGGAAAAACAAAGATTGCATTTGAAGCACATGAGGAGCAGATTATGAATGTACCACTATGTTTACATGACTGAAACATGAAATGTTTATTTTACATATTTAAAGTGCAAAACGATTAAACACTGTAGATAATAAATGTTTCTAATTTTAATGTATCATCTGAGACTAAATAGTACACTTTTTTTTTTTATAATTTAAATATTTATTAATTTTCATTTTAAATACATTTCATCATCATGATATACAAACATATATATAAAAATATACATTATAGTATCCAACATTTCTACTTTATTTACTTTATTCCAAATTTCCCCCCCCTCCTCCACCCCCACCCTAATCCCATCTTCCTACTTTTCCTTTTCTCTGCGTCATTTTATATCGGCAAGTGCAGTTTTTCTATTATTTTCTTTATTCTTTCCTATATTTCATATATAACTTAGCTTTTTCCCAGTTCTCCCATTTCCTATTATAAATCTCCATCCTATCTTCCTGAATATGACA